AGCATACAATTAACAAACTTAATTTAAATAAGTTTCTGCTGGATAAACATTTTTGGGGAATTCTAATTTAAACTGTTGATTTAAATTGTAAATAATATTTTTGAATTAAGGATACTCATGAAAATCGTATTAAAGATTAAGTTTTTTATGACTATATTTTACTGATACTATATTTTATACTAGGTATAGCTAAGTTATTCAGGTCAGGAATATCAGAATTTTGTATCACACAAGTATGAAAAAAGAATTAAAATCGGTTAAAAGCTGAAAAAATAATAATATAATAATTACAAATAAAATACTTTTAGCCTTTTAACCTCTAAAGATTTTTTGGTATATAGTCTACTATAAATCTTACACGCCTTGATAATTGTAAAACATCGGTACACATACAACGTAAAATAATACCTAACTTTTCTTATAAATAAGCCACGTGACTGATCCTACACGGAGAATAAGGAGCTATTCCATTATTATTATTTTTTCTGTTAATTGAGTTAAGTTTACACAAAGCATTATTAGTGTGTAAGTGGATTATTATTCTGGTCCTTTGATACGTACGCATGCAGCACCTCTTCTAAAAATCTGTCATAGATTATGTAATTTACTCATTCAAAGTAGCAATCAAACCAGAATGTATAAATTTTCTTAAAAAGTAATCTTACGGATATCATAAGTTTTTGATGAAAAGATTTTTATTTTATTTCGAAATTTTTGTGTATTATTGCCAATTAATTTATGTCTTGGTATTGAAGAGAGTATCATATTTATACAAAAGAAATAGATCTTGAAAATAATTAAAGAAATTATGAAGGAGGCAGTTTAAATACTATTTCCTTGATGATAATTATTTCCAGTGGTCTATTTCAATCGATAACTTAAACCAACGTTAAGTTCTCGCACTCGCTTCTCGAAGAGCTTTTGCTTTGCCACAAGTTAATATAATAACAGCAGCTAACCTCAAGTTAGTTTTGTATTGCTACTACCGACAAAGATCAGTAATATTTTTTTATTAAATAAGGTGTTAGGATTTTTTTTAATGTGTAAAAACTTTAATTACCTATTTATTTTAAAGTTGTTGTCATAAATTTGTTTGATGATCTTATGTTAAAAACTTCTGTTAATCTTATGTTATCACTCTAAACTTTTCTTTATCATGACAATCACCAATCACAATGCCATAAATATGGAAACATAAATAGGCACATAAATTTATTAGCTTATTACTTTTGTTTTCGTTACTCAAATTGTCAAAGTAAACTAATACGCCTGAAATATAAACAAAATGTGACACGGATGGTACAAACAAAATAAACAATATATTTTGTTACACAGTGAAGTTTACACAAAGCATTATTAGTGTGTAAGTGGATTATTATTCTGGTCCTTTGTCAATATTCCCGAAATATAAATCAAACAAAAAACAGACATTATTAAAAAAGAAGAAAAGACGCAGCTCTCCAAGTACTCTAAATAAAGTAGAACAAACAAACAAGGCTCCAAAACGTACCGTTGGACTTTTAACAGTATCTTTTTACAACTTCACTCCGAATAGGGTATTGCGCGCGATTCCGGGCCGAATTAAGTTTAAAAAAGTCCGATTGAATGCGGCTCTGGTGAGTTTGGTGATTCTTGAGAATTCGATTTCGTTTTAATTGTAATAAGCACTTATGAGGTGCCATTTACATTTAAATGTACTGTAGTTAATCATGTGTATTAATGTCCGTGATTCCACGCAGGATTAACTGGCGCTCTGGTGGTATCGGATGAATCTAAAGAGTTTTATTTCGTTTTAATTGTATTAAGCACTTTTGTGTTAACAATTTTATTAGTAACTTACAAAAGTTCAATCATCTTTGTGTATTTCACATCGCGCGAGATTCTGGGCTAATTCAAATAAAAAAATCTGATTGAATGCGGCTCTGGTGGTTTTGGTAATTCTAAAGAGTTCAATGACGTTTTAAATGTATGTCACACTTTCTTTTGATATATTTCTCTAATGTTTCTCACTTTTTTCATTTTCATGAATTTTAAGTAAATTATGGTAGACTTATATACCGTTGTAATTCTATGATTAGATCGGAATTTTATACAGAGCTAACTATACTTATGAGTGTCACACGCCTCTTTGTAACGCGCAAAGGTTTGACTGGAAGAAAATGCCTATGGCATTAAATCCGCCTTATGCAATATGTTTGAAGGAAGTCTCAAGAAATAAATAAATAGTCGTACAGAAAGAAAGTACTGTTTAACATTGTTTCACGTTAGTTTATGATTACTATTTTGTTCCTGTAACTCCTCGCGTGATGAAACTATCTAATGCAACAATATTTTTTAGTTTTAAGCTCTGCAACACACAAGTGAATATTAAGGACAAACACGTGTTTGTGACTTACTAAGTGTAACAACTAAATTTATGAAACCGAAATTCATCTGATGCGACACGACAAGACATGTCCTTGTAGCAATAAAGCTAGGAGTACTAGTGTTCCTATCCCTATATACAGTAAATTAAACATATACCGAGCATGTAAATAGATACACAATAACTTTTACAACGAAAACATTAAAAAAAACATAAAAAAGTATATACATATATATATGTAATATATTTCACACGCGCACATGCATAAAGTATTAGACAGGAAAAGATTAACGTGCAACTCCAAACTTTGCGCTTTCACAAGAGAAGGAAGTTTCTTCAAAAGCTGCTTTAAAAAGTAAAAGGCAAACATGATTCGCAAATCTTCACACGATATTAAACTTTTTACAATAACAAAGGACTTAAGTGTCGAACTTTAGCATCTCAATCTAAGAATACCCTTAATTAAAGCGCCTTAAATGCGTCAAGGGGAGCCCTTAAAATTTAAGTCCCCAATAATCATTTCGGAGAAACAAAAAAGTCGTCACACAACATGTTTTGTCCTCTTCATACTGATTACGAGACTCATTTGTGTGATGAAGAAGGAACATTTTTTTAATTAAACACGCCGATGAGCTAGTTTCGTGACATGTAATTTTCTTTTGACGACAACGCTTTTGAATGTTGGACTACTCTAGACAATGTTTGTAATAAAAATTCGTAGAAGAAATATTGGCCTTTTAATTGGATAATTAAAATGTAAATGTTAGCAATCTGTCTGTGTTATATACATAAGAGAGGTTATTTATATAACAATAGTAGTTCTATATATAGTATATAATTTGAAATATTAGAAGTAAATTTAATAAGAGCGCTAGTGTTGTTTGGTTTTATATCTATAATAAGCTTTCAGAGAAATTAATATGCGTAGTCTTAAAACTAAATTTATGAGCTCATATTTTCTTTGATGAGATATTTATGTAGGTAACTGGAAACTAGCAGATAGTTTGTCTAATGGGTACGTCTATCGTATATTATTACCAAAGACAGCATTACTTGAAATTACTATTCCGCTCTAAACCTAATGGTGAACTTCGTGGAAACTGTTTAAAACATGAGCATCGACGTACCTTTAAAGTAATGATTTTCATTTCATTTGTAAATTAATAGTAGTTTCTATAAGTCTCTTTGTAAAATAATATAATTGTTATTTATGTATTTATGAAATCATTTAGACGTACATTTTTTTGAACACAAAAATAGAAGTAGGTATAGTTAAACTCAGGGATTAAATAAACTATGAGTACGGTGAGAGAACGGTGAAGTCAACTGCTAATTATTGTCACACTAGTTGTATAAAATGTGTATAAAATTTTAAAATACATAAACACAGAGAGAGTCAGAGTAGAAGAATATTAAACTCAGAAAGCAGAAGCATGTTAAACGCCACCTAATGTTTAATCCGTCACCACACTGACAATTACCTTATTCATCCCGTGGGTGTCGTAAGCGCTGACTAAGGGAGCAAACTATGCTGGACAACAGCACTGCAAAGAGAAGGAAAACTTGAAAGAAAACCTTTGCCAACCCGTCTGGCCAGCGAGGTAAAGTAGGCCGTAGGCAGTGGTCAGACTATTAAAGGCTGTTGATAATGATTAATGTTAACATGTTTTTGTCTTAGAAAAAGTTTACCTCACAACGCAACTGATAATTGGCTTACTTAACAAAATCTAAAGACAAATTACTACAGCAAAAATAATATTTTATACGGATCTATAAAACACATATCCTAAACAAGCATGCAAACAGAATCTAACAGCTTAGACGATGACGAATTCTATTTTCCCCTTCCCCTGTTAAACAGCATATTATCAAAGTAATTACGGTAAAAAAAAGTTAAACTTGGAGAGGGTGGACGCAAAATGACTCAAAGTCACGTCACACGTTACGGTGCGTTTATAACACGCCTCCCCACAAATTAGACTGAGTGCAAGCAATACATTCGATACCCACTCCAACAAGTCAATGGCAGCCCAATAATAAACTGAAATGAATTGCTATTCGTTTTTTTAAATTCATGAGTACCTGAATTAAAATATAATCAGTGTTAAACCCAAAGTATGCAAAGGTGTTATGTAATTTAATTTTTCCCATATCTGGACTAATACGATTTGTAAACCTTAAAGAGAAGAACATATATCTAGTTAACCCATATTAACCCAGCCGGGGATCTATAGGCGGCGAATGGTACTGACCATTGGGTGACCCGTCCCTATATCATATAAAAATAATATAATATATGAAGCAATCAAAGTGATTACGAATCTAAGAATAAAACCTTTGCGTAAACTATCAGAACGAAAATATTGTTAGGCGTTAGAAATAAAACTTCAAGTTTGTTAATACGAACTTTACTTACAAATTTTTAATAAAGATAATACTAATCGGATTATATTCATTGGACAATGGATTATATTTTAATTATTATATATGCAATATGACTCCCAATTCAAAAGTTTTAATAAAACCGGTTAATAACTAGCACGTTATTATTTAAACTATGTCACAAGAACGCTTTCAAAGCAACTCTTTAATTTGCTTTTTGTTTGTTTCAGGTTACTGAAAAAGCAAGGGGGACATGGAGACCGTCATCCAATATTTACTCTTAGCTTTGGCTCTGACTTCAGTGCAAATATCCTACACTGAAAGCCGTCTAAATGAAAAACGCAGGGATAAAACCGAAAGGAGGTACCATGGAACACAAGTCAAAGACAACATTTGCGAGATAACGAACAGAGAATCAAAAGTGCACTGCTACTGTGAAAGTACAGAAGTCAAGACAGCCACAAAAGCTGATTGCTGGGTTTTCAATGGTGGTATTGATGAAAGTGATCCGATATGGTCCACTTTCAACTCGCAACCTTACTTAGAACGACTTACATTCAACGTGAGATCCGATGGAGCTCTCAAGTTTATTCCCTTCAAAGTAATCCATCGAATGAAACGACTACAAAAACTGTATATCCACTACGCTACACTCAACAAAATCGAGAAACGAATGTTTTCGAACATAACCACACTGAAAGAAATAACGCTGATGAACAACAAAATAACTGAATTGGACTTCTCATCGTTCACGAATCTCCCGTCGCTCGTAAACTTAACTATAAAAGAGAATAAAGTAACAGAAGTGCAAAGGGACGTGTTCGTCGATTTACCAAGTCTCAAATATCTGGATTTGTCTTCAAATAATATTAATCTTGCCCACGACGGTTGTTTTGAACATTTGTCCATATTAAATGATCTAATATTGGAATCTAATTCAATAACAATTTTGACAAAAGACACGTTTAGGGGCTTAGCTAATCTGACAAGATTAAATCTGCGATCTAACAAGTTATCGATGTTGGGTGCTTTGACTTTTACGGAACTCTGGAATCTCAATGAGCTGCTTTTAGATAATAATTTATTGACATTTGTTTCCGAAAGAGCTTTTGATGGCCTTGCTTTGCTACAGAAACTATCTATGACGGGCAATCAATTGAAAGCAATTAACGAAGGACTATTAGAAGGTGTGCGTGGACTTGAGTTGTTAGATCTGAGAAATAATGAAATAGAACATTTCACGTACGAAACAATCAAGCCGATATTAGACAATTTGAAAATGAAAAATTCAGTTTTATATTTGAGTGGTAAGTGGCTTCGTTGATTTATATATTTTTGTTTAACCACAGATATTCCAAAATTAATGTTTAAAATGTTCTTAAACAGAAAGTTTTAGAATATTTTCAGGGCTCGAAAACTATTTTGCTCCTATTGTTGGGCACTAGTAGACCCTATTAGCAGCCATTATTATTTTATTCGATTTCAAGTCATTATCCTTTGTAATCACGAGTATTTAATAATACTCATCATAAAACTATGTATTTATATTGTAATGAGAATTTCTCGTTTGATTTCATCACTGTCAAAATTACAATGGTATTATTTGGCCATTATAATGATATTACGTGTTCCATTTTTCCTGACAACGTGTAATTTTCGAACAAATAGCGCGTAGCACTCACTCACATGTTACTCTTGGGAAGTTAAATTCGAATATTTTGTCCAAACAATGGGGAATTCCCTCTTGTATTTAATCCCCTACTAAAGCACCCTTCACATTAAGGACAATTAATGATTGTAACAGCTCCCTTTATCGAATCAGCAATGGTAATATACTTCGTTTTACAATGCCGTATTTTTATTCGACAAAGAGAGATCAAAGTTCTTAATTTAATTAAAATCGCCACGTGTTTTTGTAAATGTCTATTTTTAATTATTTTTTAAACAAAGTATTATGTTATATTTGAATGACTCAGAGCTCAGTATATTAAATATGTAAAATTTATTATTAATTCTGTACAAACATTATATTGTCTCAAATTCAATAAAATTGTTTAGCTTAGTTTATTTATCATATATGTAGTTTATGAAATATCACAAATTATTTGAAAAGATTAATACAATAGTATACTTTACATTCTATTTTATATATTCAATGTTTCACAAAGTAGAGGTCCGGGTGTTTGACGCAACCTAAAATAATGTTTATTAGAAATAATTAAGAAAATGTAATGCCTTCAAATTAACAACCACTTCCATTCATGTTTTTGTCCACGATATATTCATGCAAATAATTATAAATTTTACTGAGATGCACATAAAGATAGATAACGTTAACCTAAAACTTTACTTTATTATAATGCATACTATGCCAAACAGCGCTTTCTCAACCGAAGCTAAGCATAGCCTGTACGACATATTCTGGATCTTAGATACGTAAATAAAATAAATACATATAACAACAACAACATATAAACAAATATATATAAATAAATACATACCACATATTTCGGTTAAAACATAGATACGAGTATTGTACGCAAGAACACTTGGCTGAAATCAAATTGACATATTCTTGTACACAAATATTTGAGGACTGAGTGTAAATTGTTATGACACGTCTCGAGTTCTCAGGTAGAAGTTTCATTATTACCATCCTAAGAAACCTTTACTCATTCATGCGGAAATTAATAACTTAAATTTATTCGAGCATAAAATTTCAATCCAATGATTATGTGATTACAACTTGCCAAGCCAACTTGTATTTTTGCGCAGTAGAGATTGAGGCAATATTTGAATATTATTAAAAATAATTCTTGTTTGTAATATACTCGTTTCAATATGATTTATCATTTCTAACTATCGTATAGGCTCTTTTTGACATGTAAATTTATATTGAGAACTGTGGGAGCAATAATTGTACCTTTCTTTCTTTTTTAGGTAATAAACTGATATGCGACTGCCGTCTATCATGGATGAAAGTTTTACATAACGAAACAAACAGTGAACCTTTGAAGCTAGCTTTAGATGACGTCACCTGTTCTCTCAATGGCGGACAAAACAATCCGTACCATGACGTGACTCCGTCCAAATCTGATGAACTATATGAAATAGAAACTCCGAAGAGTGTAAGAGACTTCAATGAAGATGATTTGTATGATGATACAATACAGTTAAGACCCGAGCCTACTGTTCAGCCTGTAGTATCCCATAAACTTGTTGTCGTTAGTTTGCCAATAGAAACGTTACCATGCCCACGAGAGCTGCGGAACGGCGAGGATTCCCTAATGCTATCGTCGAAAGATGAAAGCTTCTGGCAACCTAATAACACATTTCGTTACTTTTCTAGTTTACCGTTAGTCATAATATTGACGTTATTAAGTGTATTTTAAATATTAGTAATACTTGTGTGATGCTTGTATTTTGTTAGTGTTGAAGTAAATGATGAATTCAGGACAATATTGTATTTATTAATAATTATTATTTTTAATTATTAATAACGTGAGAGTCTTGTCATTCAAAGATTTATATGTATGTATAATAATTTTTGCACTTCTGCTCCTATGCTTGATATTTAGATTCTAAGAGAAAAGACTGGTATAGATATTTAATAAATTATTTCTTAGTAAGTGTAATTTAAAACCACGTATTATATTTAAAATTGTGAAATATTTTAGTAAATGTCCAATTACAAAGCGCTCTGTGCAGAAAGACTGCATTCTCTATTATATTTTGTTTATTTAACATTTCTTGTGCATATTTTTTTTTGTGAAAAAGTTTAAAAACCGTTGGAACATTTGTTTCCAAACTAAAAGAAACTGATTATAATTACATACTCCTGTTAAATCAAACTAAAAATGGAATAAATAATGTGATTAAATTATTCTGTTAACAAATCCAAGAAACAACGTGGTATTTTTTTTTATTTGTAATATATCTTCAACCATCTATGCTGTGTAAAAAAAACATCATTTATGTAGACATACAAGAAAGTTTTTAGTGATAAAAATATATGACCGTACCATACCTTTGAGCCTATTTTCTATTAGCCCAAGCATCGAATCAAATCATAAATTTGACTTAATTTCATCTAATAAACTTCTCTACATAATAATCAGAAGACAGAGGCAGCTGTTACCCCCCGCCCCTCGGTACGTCCGAGTGTACAAGGAAATAAAAGCCTGAAAAACTGTATACAGGCTGTAACTGTATACTTCGAAATGATGATAATTTTCGTCTACCTTCAGTGAAGAATGTTGTACTGTCTCTCTGTCTCCATTTAAAATATGTATATGTTTTTCACTTAGAACTAAACATCAGAAATAATGTAATATAGTAATATTAGGTGATGTAAATAATTATATTAAGGATTTGGCTATTGTATTTAAGGCATAATAAAATATTAATAAAAATTGAGAGTATGGCTAATTTTTATTTCCTTTACTTCTAATTTAAAAAAAAATACAAAAAATCCAGATTCGCTTTTGACATAAGTGTAAATTGTATTATGTCTATGTAATAACTGATATACAACTACAAAAGGTATAATAAATCATCGGATAATTTAACGCTTTTAAGTGAAATGATCATAAAAATGTTTCCCTTTTTTGTTGTAGGCTTTCCTTCTTAATCTAAACTCAAAAAAATAAGCCTAGTAAACTCAAATACCACTACTTGACTGATTTTAATAGTTGTTTGACCTATAAAAACCTAAATTATCTGTAAAATTCAGCTGTTGAATTGTTTTTATTTTCCTTATAATAAAAGATTCCTACTAATATGCTTTGAATTCCAACATTGTAACCAACGATATCAGAATTTGGCTTGTAAAATCATTATTTTTTATACCACGCTATAACATAATGTACCACATATTTATAGTACTCATCAATACCCTATCTAACTGTTACAGGTAATTTACAATAATAACCGTGTGCTTCAATTGTTCCAACTGGAAGCCAAGTTCAAACGAAAGCTATAAAATTTTCTATAAAAAGTACAGACCCTCTTTAAATGATTCGTGCGAGTTGAACTCACGACGCGAGGATTGATTAATTATCATATATATTTTTAAATAACTTTATTGAAATTTAAACTATAGAAGAACATGTTCATTACCGTTGCTAAATCTGTGTTTATAAGAACATTTTAATTGTATCGGCGGAAATTAGCTGTGACAGGCGAACAGACAGTCGCACTAATGTCCTCTAAGAGTTTCTTTTTATTATTCTTATGTACGGAGCCCTAAGACGTAGGTCGTGCATCTGCCCTGAAAGTGAGCGGCGACGCGACGGCGAACTACAACTCCGCCCATCAACAGACACGACCACTCTTGCAAAAGTGTCCAACTAAGAAGACGGAACCCTAAAAACAGACAGAAACAGTCTTAAAAGGTGTATTTTATTGTTTTTTTTTAAGTTATATTTTTGCATGGTACACGTACTTTACTTCCACATAGAAATGTACGGTTTTTGAAAGGTCTTGATCTTTTTTCAAAATAACCATTAGCGTGATTTAAGCCGCGGTCAAAAGCTCGTCTTTAAGAATTTTAACTAATTATGTTATATGGGGCTGAACAGCGTCTGTAGTTCATCAGGTATGTTCATGGATGCAGAAAAACTTGCTTCTATTTAACTATGCGTACGTAAGTAATATGTATTACTAGTACGAGTGGTGTCTAGCTCAAACAGTATCCTTAGCATGATTGCAAATAGTATGTGTCCTAGTAACTTGAACAGAAAAGAAAATATTACTTTCATTATTCTAAAAATTATTTTTCAAGACACGCATTAGGAATTTATCCTGTGTCACGGAAATTTTACAAAGATACATTAAACGGACACAAACAACACCCAGACTCAGAACAACAATTTGTGGATCACACAAAGTGTCGTCCCATGTGGGGTTTGAACCCACAACACTCGGGGTAGTAGGAAGCGGCGTGGCGACCGCTTAAACCACTACGCCATCCGTGCAGTCAAATTATTATCGTATCGTATTAAATATCAATATTCTAATATAAAAGTTCTAATTCATTTTAGGATCTCCAATCTAAAACGCTACTTAGATTAAACACATAAATCCAATAATGGCAATCTCAGATGTATCCCCACGAAACAAAACACCATTAAATGAAGGTGATTCCCTAGGGCGACTTCGGCTATTCGAACAAAATTGTTTACTATCAAAAACAAAAACATCCATTTCTGTTGTTATGATTACATATTGAGAGCAACAAACCCGAGTTGGATTGTGTTACCTACAAGAGGTAATTTAACATAAATTGTATGGAGTGACCAGCCTCGAGTATCTTAGGAACGAGCTCGGGCGACGTGTGAGACAACGTCACCCACCAATCATGCTACGAGAATTTTCGTAGTAGAGTATTCTCTTTTTTCCTTTATCGTCACAAAAAAAAAGAATTATATTACTTTTATTTAAGGAATACTTAATAATCAGTTAAACATAATTTATTTCGTGAATCTAGTATTCTTAGCAAACTGAGATTCTCAGACATCTTTGTGTCTGGTATTCATTGCTCTGGGCTATAATATACCATTCTGTAGATAATAAAATCAAGATAACGTTTAAAATGATGGAATCATATTAGTTTCGTCTCCGACTACATCATATAGGGTCGACGCAAAGCTTCTAAAAGAGCAGTTGCTCTTTTAGAAATATTGTAATAAGTTTCTTGTTGTAGTTTTCTGGTGTATTATTGTGGTACCTTATTTATTTATTCCGTGAGGAAATCCCCTCGGATATCACCCACTAGTCGGACTCATCATCAGCCTATCGCAGTCCACTGCTGGACATAGGCCTCTCTCATAGACATAGATCGATTTTCTAGTCGGACTCGAACCGACTAAAAACCGCACGCCGTCTCGGGTACCAGTGGCCGGGGAACCAGGTGCACCCTAGAAAGGAAATTCCTGGTACAAAGGAAATCCCTGGTACATTCTTGTGGAACCTAACAAAAGTTCACTAGACATCAAGAGTTTTTTTATTATTGTGGTACCTAACAACTCTTGATGCCGAGTGAACTTGCTACAATGAAGCTCTTTTGAAGACAGAATTGAGAATAAGTAAAGTGTGCAATTTGGGCGAGGCACACGCATTGAAGTTATGAGCAAACGCTCTCAGCTTAATAGAAACACGTTTAAACATTTAGCAGGCTGTATACATACTTGGTTGAAAATACATTAAATGTACTGAGTTGCGCTATAATTGAAAACAAAACCAGGCGTGTAGTGTGCCAATGGTAAGGCCATAATTTTAAGCTAAATTAAATTAAAAATGACATCTGAGCTATTCCTAGACTTTACCAATAAAAGCTAAACATACTGCTTGTATGCTATTGCAAACTTTTATCTTCTAAGGTAAGCATTATCATCAAGGAAGTCATGTTATCCCCTTTCCACCTAAAAGGTATAGACATTAAGTCATCTAGTAATAAATGAAATGAGTTTATTTACGTGCGTGAGAACTGTGGGACCATACTCACTGGTATTTCGAAAAATAAAAGCCATAGATATGATTTAGTTGTAGACTTGAAACAATTGTAGAACAAATCCGGGAATTTCTAAATTTAAATTGATATTTTAGCATACAATGTTCGAAATAATATTTATATATACTCGTAAATATAAATAATTTGAAAATATCTTGTGTTGCGCGTTTATAGGTGTCATTTTTGCACATGCAATCACACTGCTTGTTTATGTTTTGATGGCCAAGTGGATAAAGCTTGTACTATTAAATTGTTAATACTCGTACAATATCAGGATAATTTTACCTTAAAATATCTTCATATCTATAGTAGTAGAGTATACTCTGCATCACCCCAAGGTTGACTGGAAGAAAATGCCTATGGCATTAAGTCCGCCTTATGCAATGTATTTACAGGAAGTATAAATAAATAATACATTTATGATTTAACTGTCGTTTCACTTCCGGAGATTAATCCAACCGACGAAGAAGTAAAGTATCGGGGCGCGACGGTGTCATGCGTCACACTTGATATGCGAAGGTGCGACTGGTTCCTTTATCTTGTGTCCATAATGTTGTGTGTTAGTATTATTATTTTATTCGGGTATAAAAACTGTTATGCAACAAATAGTAATGTAAGAATCTTCATAAATAGTAATTCCTCAGTAGAAAATTTCATCATAATATAAAATTCAACGTAATCATTGTACAGAGCTGGTCTTAAAGTGATATAGTTGATGTTCGTAGAAATAAATAATCCTTGTACTTGTTAAAATTCAATTTCACGTTTCAACGCCACTATAGTCTGTTGAGTCTGTATTATTCTATGAATTCGAAAGTTAGCGTAAACAAGAGCAGAATAACACACTTTATTTGTAAGCTCAGAACACAAAGCTATATGTTA